TATTATATATTTACGGCACTACGAAATGGATTAATATTCTGCCAAATTCATCTTCTTCTGCATTTAAACTGAAGCACTATGCTTTTTATTTTCATTTTTCAATCTGTAAAAGGGGCTATATAAATAAACATTTCTAAACTTTATTTGAAAATTGTTTTCCACCTAAATAAGTCTTATTATACGGTCGATTAAACTTTTTTGAACAAATCAGTAAAATATCCCAAATGTTACCAATATTAAACTAATTTAAAACACACAACAGTTTCAGCTCAACTGAACTTACTAGGGGTGTAAGAAAATATGAATACACTGAAATATCGCCATATTTCATTTCCTGATACTGTATCGATATTCTAAAGCCCTGTATTGATTTTTTAAGGTTTAAAATGTCAACTTTCCTGCCAGCCGTTCATTTTTATGTTGTAGTTCAGCCTCTGACCACTAGTTGGCAGCAGTGAGCCAGACATTTGGCTCCTCTACCTCTTGAGCGCCAGAGAGTAAGGGTAGCATTAGCATTGTGAGTAAACATTAGCTTCATGCACCAAAAGCTGAATCTGAGCAGAAAGGACCGACACCCTCTGCCTTCTAAGCTGAGGTAAGGTTACGAACAGTTACTATTTTCAGAATGTCTGTATTTTAAGCCAAATTAAGTGTTTCATGCGCTCTTTTTTCCAACTATAGTCAGCCGTCAAGTTACGGAAGGCAGGCAGGCATATATAGCGCATRTGTCTMTAGCGATATATCGCCTTGCTTACAGTATCGCAATATATCAGGATATATCGTATCGTGATATCATGATGTTATCGTATCTCCAAATTCTTGCCAATACACAGCCCCACACAACACAAAAACTGATTGCTAACAAAATACACAAAGCTTTTAACATTTAGATCTCAAAACTCTGTCATGAAACTCAGCTTTCGATATGAATTGAAAGGAACTTTCAAGGGCCTTTCATTAAAAAAAACGCTGAATAATAACTTTTGTCTACAAGATTCATTAGATTTTAGATGTTGGTTTTGGATGATAGCTGAGATCACCACCAACAATAAAGCACTAAACAAACTTGGTCAAATGTATGTTAAAGTCACCACAGCTGTTTATATTCTTGTCCAAACAACAGTGTGTGTGATCTTCCACAAGTGCTGGAGATTTATGTTATTTGTCCCTCTGCGTGGTAAGAACAATATTTCATGAGGACGTGCACTAATCTGCTGCACAACTAGATTGTCCTCTGGGCTCTGCGTCTGTGCAGGTCACATCTACACGCCTCACATATGGCAGCAGTGCAGCTCCGACGCCGTGACCAGATAACCAAACGGACCGCAGCGCAGTTGAAGGTTACCATCATGACTGTGTGTTAATTAAAAGCCGCGCTCGGGGCTCCGGCAGCCTAAATTATCATGGGCATCCTTCAATTAGAAACCTGATAACCTCCAGTGGACCAGATGCAGCTGGAGTCCACGCTGCAGCGGTCAGGAGGAGCTTGCAGATTAAAAAGCAGAAACAACTACTTTACCCAGACTTATCCACTTGGTAAATTAAAAAATATCTTTTTAACTATTGAAAAACACAATTTCAAGATTTATTCTAAAGTAATAATTCATAAATCAAAGAGGCAGCAGAGTTTATCACTGATAGTTATTAGATGAATCCCCATCTGTTATCATAAACAAAACAAACAATTTTTTGTTGATTTATCCATTAACTCGTAATAATAAAATATTTTTGACACATTCCAGAGAAACGTGTACTAGGAGGTTTCTTCTAATTGAGCAAAGATGTGCTAAAAGGTAACAGATAATACTRGTATAATTCGAAATCTGTCTGAATTCCAGTGTTAAAAGCACAAATTTTACTAAAACAGTGTTTTAAAAAAGCATTACTTCGGCAGCAAAGCAGGTTTTTTAGAACTTCAATTAGGAGCCGTCTTACAATCCATCAAGAAAAGTACCAATTTTCTGTCCGTTCTCTCCTGACATTTTCACAATGAGATCATCAGAGGAGAATTACTGTAAAATGAAAGCAGCAAAATGCATTAAACTAACAAAGCCCGACTATGACAAGTAAAAGAAGACTGGCATTAAAGTCACTAGAAGTCTTTAATGGATTCTAAAGTACAAAATAAATTTGTGTGTTTTCAGAACRTGATTGACTGTAGAAGCAGCTCTGCTAACGAAACAGTTTCATTTTTGATAAACGAGAACAAAAAAACACTTTCTGACTTTCCAAGACATTTACAGTGAAAGCTTCAGTCAACCTGAGTGAACGTGATGACAATCAATCTCCAGGTCAAATACTGGATTACTTTTACAACAACCGGGTCAACGTCACATGTGACGATAATGTGAGGAGATAAACAAACAGAAGCTGCGGTCGCCGGTGGAGAGAGGGATGGACAGTTGGTACAGCAGCTCACACAGATGTTGTTAAATATGGCCTAAAAATACAACAGAATTAAACTTTTAAATGTTTTAACACATCGTCGGTCTTCATGCAGCACCATGTCAAGTTTTCTCCCCTTATGAAGGTTTATAAACTTGAATGAGCAGATTCTAGAGGCTGATGAACAACAAGTTATCAASTGGAAACAATCAGTTACAAACACTGTTKTTACTGTTAATGTTTGTCACTAATATGAAGAGCAGCTTCTGGTTCTACCGTGCAATTTATCAAATTTATTTTTACAGTTTTTTTATTAAAAACATTGAACATTTTGAATGTATTTATTTTATGACCACAAATTAATTTACTKTTTAAAATATATATATATATTTGTGTTGATAAGCCTAAGTGGTCTGTTGACAAATAATTGTTATGGGCAGGTTACAATATAAAATAATGTTTGTCATAACCATGTCTTATGATTTTTTGACAGAAGTTTTTCTTTTATTCTGTTAAGTGTATTTAATTTAGTTATAATGCAAAAATATGATGCACATTAAACCAAGATTTATAATAATTATCATTTTGATCCATACATTGGTAATGTCTGACTGGGCCTTGTGTCACTTTATGTTCAACAAATTGGGCCCCGAGGTCAAAAAGGTTAAGAGCCCCTAGTCTATGTCCTTTGAATTCTCCCAGAAAAAGTAATCTTGCCTTGAAAAAGTTTAACATGATGATTATTTAAGCACCTTCTACTCTAAGTATTGATGCATGACCAATAATAATAATGTATAAAATGTCAAAATAAGTCTAAATAATTTGTCCAACTAATTAGAAATCTATTGGTTTTTCTAGCATTAAATGTTTTGTCAAAGGTGGTTTATCGTGCAGGTCTTTGTCATCAGGAAAATAGCACTTTACACAATTTCTCAAGACCTCACATTTGCACCAACACATCCATAACTACGATTTATTTGTCTTTTTTGTGGCTGTTTCATATTTGTATTGATTCTGTGACTAAATCTGGAAAATAATTCACAGATAAAGGACATGAGAGAAACAGGAAGGAGGTCTTCGTAAAATATATTTCTATATTTTTACAGAAACTGGCTGAACTCATGTAACTCACTGTGCAACAGTAGCACAGAAACTCCAACGAGCACGCCCACATGAACACACACATGAACACACACACACCATTTCTCCGAGGCTCTAACTTACTGTCAGTGGTGTCAGAGTCGTTGCTGCTCGTGGAGTATTTCCTCCTCTTCTTTTCGCTCTGCATCTGTGGTGGAGGGAGGCAGGAGGGCRGGGAGGGAGGAGGGGGTAAGAAGAGAGAGAGAAAATGACAAGTGAGAAGATGCTCAGCATGAAAGTGTTAATGAAATAACCTGCTGATGACACCAATCTGTCAGGGCCTCCAGCGGGCTTCCAACCAGGATAAACTGAGCTCATCACCGCTAAACTGGGAACGTCACAATCATCCTGATGTTCAAGTGACTTTATCATGTTTACTTTACTGCAACCTCCAACAGTAATTGTCATTTAAAACCCTGAAGGCTAAAACAGGGGCTCTTCAAAGAGCTATATGCACCAGGTAAGATATTAAGTGTTCATAAACTTTCCCCAGAACCCCACTTCATGAGACGCAAGCAATCAACACCTCCACTTAGAAATCTTAAACTCAACAAGTATAGATCAGAACTAAATTATGACTGGAAGCTATCACCATATATATGTATTAGCTCAGCGCTACACATTCTCTCATCACTGAGGTCCTCCATCCACATGACAGAGAGGGGAACACAAAAATGACTCAGCCTGGAACTGAAAATATGGATGGAGGACCTCAGTTTAGCTTGTTTGTCACGCTAGCACAGAGTTAATACATATAAGGCAATATAGCATCAGCGCTAGCACAAAGGCTAACAGGCAAAGCTGAGGTTGTTCTTCCATGAAGCAGCTCTGTTGTCCTCCATCTATATTTTCAGTTACAGGCTGAGTCATTTCTACCTTCTCCTCTCTGTCAACGCTCTCTGGTTTCATTTAAAAGAGTCGATCATCAGATATTGTCCAAGATTAACCTTCAGGGTGGATATAGCTCGCTAGCAGCCTCGCACCGAGGACCTATCCACGTCATCATTTACCCAGAATGCTTTGTGTGTAAATAAAATGGCTCCGTCCGTGTTAAAATATATTTTTAAAAATTTACAAAACTAAACATCCTACAGTTTTTTACAGTCTTTATTTTACAGTTAAAATAAATGTTTATCAAATAAAGTCTAATGTTATAACTAATCGGGGATCCCTTTAACGAACGTCATATCGCTATCGCAATATTAAGCAGGTTTTCCTGATATCGTACAGCCGTATTGCCCCGTTTTTAATCATTTTATGTCCAGAAATGACAAAGCAGTCTTGATCAAGCCTAAAAGTAACATTATGTTAGTTGTGATGACTCTCAGCTACTACCACTCTCTAGATTTTAGCTCAATATCTGTAAAACTGACCTTATTCAAGCCATTCTATATTGTTTGCTAAGATCAGTTGGTTGAACTGGCTCCAAAAGTTTAATCAGCTGTAGATGTACATCCATTGATTATTTCCTGTACGTTTCATTAAAATCCATTCTGTGATTCATGAAATATTTTACTAAAAGACACACATACCTAGACACACTGACTGGCAAAACCATCATTGCATCCCATCAAAAGGCTTGTGATTTATAACAAATGGTTCTGCATCCAGTATAAAATATTGTCAGTCATCCTTCGAGCCATCAGATCTCCACACACTGAAACACCAGAGGGAGTCTTTAAAACATGAAACCAAGAAATACCTGTATAAAGACGAGCGTTCCTCCTTCCTGTCAAAATCTGATCGATCCACAATCTGTCAGGAATGACTCCAGCAGTTCTGCCGCAAAGCACTTAATGTCGAATCTATGTCGACTTAATTTGTCACCTGCTTCAAATCACTGTACAGTAAATCTGAACGAGGACTGGCGGGGGCTACAGGAGGGGAACAGGTGGCACTGGAGGAAAGAAAAGCTAAAAAAAAGTGATATGCAAAAAATAAAGCCTTTAAAATGATCTGAGGTTTAGGACATTTTAATTAAAAAATGTTGCAGAATGAGGACTTTGTCATAAACAAGAAGTCGATAAAACAGGAGGTAAAAAACAAACTGATAATTGGTGGAAACGACTGTAAAAGATCAGCTTCATTCTGTACATGATAGGAAAAAAAGGAGAGTAACAGTTGTAAAATTAAGTTTCAGCAAACTGTCAGATCCAGGAAGGAGGTGGGTTCCAGCCTTCACTGTGGAGCGCAGAGATTTATGTGGCAGTAAAACAAGGTTATTCCCTCTTATATGGGCTCTTCCTGAACCTCCGCCCGCCCTGCATACGCTTAACTACTCTGACATTTGTGCTGACAAAAATAAATAAATAAAAAACACACGGCTCCCTTTTGCTGCCTGTTCCAGTCCAGGCCGTGCCATATTTCTCCCTCCACCTTTCTAAACCTCCACACTTTATTACAAAAAGACACACAGACAGGAGGAACGAGGAGACTGCAGGAGGGTTAAGTACATTTTTGACTTCCTCAACCCCTCGTTTTTCTCTCCCTCTTCTTCCCATCTGTCAAGTCCTTCCTCATCTTTCTGCTTTTGATGAGAGCAGTTAARTGCATCGCTGACATCTTTCTGTCCGTCTTCAAGTCTTGCACATTTGGATCTGTCTCAGGGTTTCCTCCCGTCTATTAAACTCTCAGACGGCCTACTTAAACCACRTTTTGTCTGCTTAACCTTTTTGTTTATGTTTTCCCTCCCAAAGCAGTCAAGTCATTTCTTTCCCAACTCTGCCCAAAGAAGTGCTGAAAGTTGTGACATGAAGTAGGGGTGACTGTCTGGTTATTAAACTGACCGGAGCAGAATTAACGGTTCTCTGACAGAAATAATATTAGCTTTACCAACTGGGAGTGAAAATGAGGGAACTTTTTATGCATTTGGAGCCRTCACTGGATCAATGGGCCTCATGCAAGAACATGTTTGTATTCTTATCCTAAATTTCTCTTACTTTTGATCGTACAAAGGGTTCGTACGAACATGCCACGTCAGATTCAACAAACTCTTCTACCTTCAGGAAAAGTGCGTAAATGAGCTGCGTAAATTCACCTGTTCTATCCAGCTGCTCGTGCACGCGAGAGGAGATTAGCATAATTACCACCCCAAAAACACCATATAAGGCTATGTTTCCTACCTCAGATACAAGGAAGTGTCCATTCATTCATGAGAAATTCATGAAAATTCATGAAAGTCCGTCTGTCAGAGATCCAGAAAAGAAAATCTGTCATTTTTAGCAGGTCAGCTGTGGGATAAAAAGAGCTGCTAAATGTATAAACAACTGTGTTAAATCATTTTCATTTATTCAGAAGCCGCAGCGCTGCGCACCATACCCCCACCCCCCCGCGCGCTGCGGTGGTCTCAGATGCGGGTTTGAAATAAGCATTTTAAAATGTTTTCAAAATAAGTCTGGTACTTTGAAGAAAACCGACGACTCACTGGAGGGATTATGTACCCCCTCTGGACTGGGAACGTCTCGGAGTCCCCCAGGACGAGCTGGAAAGTGTCTCTGCGGAGAGAGCGGGGTCTTTCTCCTGCTGCCCCCCGCACCCGATAGCGGGTAAGCCGGCCGGACGGACAATTTATATTGTTAGTCTAAATTATTACATTTAAAATTATAACTCTAATTCAAGCAGAATAACTTATTGTCAACATAATTATGGAGTGTGATTTATTTTCAACTCAAAATATCTTCAAACTAACGAAATATAAAGTTATTAGTGAAGAAAATCCGTCTGGATAACAGCAGACTGACTTCACGTAAAATTTACGACAGGTCTGGACCACTCGTAAATTTTGTTCGTATCTGAAAAAAATCGTAGAATACGAAAACATTGGTGAATGCCACAAATTCTCCTAAATCACTCGTACGCACAATTTAAGAACAAATCTGTGCGTATGAATGGTTCTTGCATGAGGCCCAATGGTCTGTGAGGTAAAAAACATTCATCAATAATGAAGTTTTCAGCATTTACTAATAAAATATCATTATTAACTAGCATTCCTGCTGCCAAAGTTTCATAATTAAAGATCACATGATTTATCAGTGCTCAGTTTATGTTGAGCATGACTCTCAGCTACTACCACAACAAATTCTACCTCAGTATCTATAAAAGTGATTTTGTTTTTTGATATTTTTTCATTTGTTAAGGTCAAGTGGTCATCTTGAATCAAACAGTGTTTTATAAAAACTTTAAATTCATCTGCAAAGGAGTTCAACATAAGGACTTACACCTTTTGCACATAYGTCCAAATAAACAAATACTCTTGCCAAAATAATAATGTGATACTGGAGGAATCTGAAAAAAACTGAGCATCAGAAAAGCCCTTAAAATCTAATAATTCAAGATTGTTAGTTTGTGAAAAAGTGGACATTTTGCTGTAATAAAGCCCCTCGACAACTTACAAAAAAATTGTACGTTTAAGGTTTTAATCAGGACCTCGCTGAAGATTAAACTAGTCTCTGGAAAACACCATTCCTTTGAGTCTTCAAACCGACTGGTAGGTTTTTTAATCCACATTATTCTAAATGTATTACCTTTTATAATCTAGTCTAGTCTGGGTTGTTTAAATCTATTCCCCATGACTTCTTCAGCTAATCTGCTAATCTAGTGAGTTTAAAGGCAGGTGGAGATTTACGGAAAAACTGCAGAAGACTAAAGATAAATAAAGAAATGTAAAATGATGCTGAGAGCTGGAWGACTTCAATGTAGTGTTGAAAAAGCTGAAAATGAAAAGAGCAGAATGCTAGCTAAAAGCTAACAAGGAGCAAAACAGTAGCTAGAAGTTAAAAGTAGCATTTAACTAACTTTGCAGCAGCAAAATGTCTGCTAAAGTAGCCTAAAACTCAACATAGAAAAAGGAAATAAAAAGTTTGATGGATGAATGGCTAAAACTACAGATTTTAAAAGGTGCATGAAGAAATAAAAACAAATATTAAAACAGCAGTGTAAATGCTGAATCAGTATTTACAAAGAACTACAGGAGAAAACTGTTCCAAGTGAGTGAGTGAAACTAGACTAAAATGTTTTTCTATGGCCAAAAAATAATAATTTATTCTTAACACAAATAACCTTCAGTACGGATATAAATCTGTAGATCACATTAATATTTCATTGGGTTTAGACAGCCACCAGCAGCTTTCATTTGAAATATATCATCCG